TATACCAGGCGAGGTAGTTAACATCTCAAAGCCACCGTAAAGATGATGAGAGAGAGACACACAAACTCCAAATATACAGCAGCAGGCGTCAGGGTCGGGATCGAACCCACGACCTCCTGTATACCAGGCAAGGTAGTTAACATCTCCTAGCCACCGTGATGATGATGAGAGAGAGACACACAAACTCCAAATATACAGCAGCAAGCGTCAGGGTCGGGATCGAACCCACGACCTCCTGTAGACCAGGTGAGGTCGTCTCTTCTGAAGAAAACAAAACAGCGACATAAACAAATATGCTAGAGCAAAACAAACATTTACACATGTACGGCGTGGTCCAGATGTCTTGTGACCCCCCAACTTTTTTTTCCCTTTGCATGTAAACATCGCTTCGTTTTAGTCGTATATTTTAGGTGATGTGTTTACCTTTCCTATACAGCACTTTGATTTGTTTACTTTAAACTCCTATCGTGTTTTAGTCCTGTTTATTGTTGCAACGTTCTGACCCCGTGTCCCCTACCGGACATCTGTGCAAAAAAAGCTTTATCACTCATCGGATTCCTTCTGCAGACGAAATAAACATTCTGATACTCGTGTTTTAAAGAAACTTTACTTCTTATTGGTTCTTTCGGTAAAGTCACGTAGAAGGGAAATAATAAAATAATAACATGTAAACATAATAAAATAATGTCTTCCCGACAGACCTGTTCTTCACCTGAGGACGGCTGCTTGCGTTGTGGCCGAAACGTCGTGAGAATTATTTTATTATGTTTTATTTTTATTATTTTATTACTTCCCTTCTACGTGATGACTTTACCGAAAGATCCAAGAAGATGAATCCCTGCAGTCACGAAAGCTTTAAATCGAAATTTCAACTTTACTTCGACAAACATTAAGTGGCAGAGAATTCAACGGGGGTCACGAGACACGTGGAGACACAGGGCGGCGGGGAGATCTCGAGCACAATTCACTGTGGACAGGAAGGGCCGGTCCAATTTGTTTCGTTCCGTGACTTCAGGCAAGGCTATCGCTCGCACAGCTGACCTTCACACCGACGCGATCATTTCAACGCTCCATCTCCACGCCGCGCGCGCGTGCGTGCTCCGGGCGTGTCCCTCCTCCCTGTCATATCGATCAAAAGCCGGGGGGGGGGGGGAATTAAAATATTTCGCTCAAGATTATTTAATTTGTAATCTCGACCTTGTCTGTTAAGAGTGTTTTGTTTTGACCGCTCCGTTAGGCGAAAGGCAAAAAAAAAATCTAAAATGTATAAGATTATACTCTTTGGTTCTTTCGGTAAAGTCACGGAGATGAAAAATAAAACATTAAAATCACGAGTGATTAAATTTAGTTATTTTAATTGTATTATTTTTGAAAATAACTAAATAACTAAAAAAAATAATCCACTAGTGATTTCACTAGTGATTTAATTTTATTATTTTACCTCCCGTGGCCAGAAATAACTATTTTTATTCTTATCTTTTATTTTCACCTACGTGACTTTATTGAAAGAACCAAAAAGTATGGATCCTTGCAGTCACGAAAACTTCAAATCTAGAATTGTATTTCCGTGCCCGTGCTTAATTTGCCTTTTCGATTTAGAGGCCGTCCATAAATGACGTCACGCGATTTTGGACAATTTTTGACCCCCCCCTCCCCTTCGTCACACGACGTCACAAAAAGTCAGACCCCCCCTCAAATATGACGTCACAAAGCTCTGCCCCCCCCCCAAAATAAAACATGCTTCAAATCGCTTTAAACTATTGTCATTGTAGTGCGTATTTAATGTGGCGCTGCACTCTGATGCTGTAGGAGAAAACATTATTAAAAAGTATATTTAATTAAGTAGAACGCGTTGTCTATATTGATTTAAAGTTGCGCATTTTGATGTGACGTCACATTTCTCAACTCCCAACCCCCCCAGGTGCGTGACGTCATTTATGGACGGCCCCTTACCTTCTAAAAAAAACCAGGCAAAGTCTCGCACCCAAAAAGTGCGTGCACCCCAGGTAATGAGAATTTCCTTAATTTATTTACATAGTTACATTATCCTAGTCATGGTGTCAGTTTTGTACCAGTTGAAAGGGTAAAAACCTATTACTATATTTTGCCACTGGAAAAGGAGGTCTCAGTGTAAATGCTTACCCGAGCTCTCAATACTCTGATAGCGCGCTGTTTTTGAGGTGTGCGCCTTTTGGCGTCATCTGGTCCAACACCAATGGAGACAAGGCTCTAAGGAAAGCTGTCTCGGGTGTGGACCAAACAACTTCAAGGACAGTGCATATCATTATCATCATCAGAGTTGTTTTTTTGTTTGCATTTTGACTGCTTGTGTTGCGGTTATTGCAAACATGATGCCTTGTATAAAGGTGTCAGTTTTTGTACCAGTTGAAAGGGTAAAAACCTACTAGTATCCTAGTCATGTTCACAATGGACACCACAAACGGCTGTGTTAAATCTTTTATCAGTCGATTCCTGGGGTTATATAGTATTCGTGAGAGATCACGTGTCTCAATGGCTCCCACCATGTTATAAACAGTGACCGTACTGATCTCTGAACCACAACCCCACTGCAGCAGCCCCGAGTCTCCCGCACATCTCCATTTATATACCGACACGAGGCCACGCCCCCCTTCTCGATCGTTCTCGCTGACTTGGACGCTCACTCCACCGTCAGACACCACCGTCCTCTTCCGTCGCCATGACCACGCTCCCTTCTACGAACATTCCCGTAGCCATCGGTCCCTTCGCACTCACAACGGACTCCCGTCATTACCTCCGTGGCCACTGGTGCATTCGCGCTGCCGGCTGACTCCCTGTCATTACCTCCCGTGGCCACCCGTCCCTTCGCATTCAGGCTGACTCCCGTCATTACCTCCAATCCCTTCACACTCACAGCTGACTCCACTGTCATTACCTCCAATAGCCACCAGTCCTTCGCACTTACAACTGACTCCCTGCATTACCTCCCGTGGCCACCAGTCCCTTCACACTCACACCTGACCGTCCCCTGTCATTACCTCCCGTGGCCACGAGTGCATTCATACTCAAAGTCCCATGATTCATACTTAACATTATTAGTAGTTAATAAAGGGACTCGATGAGACATGCGTTTTCTAAAATCAAAAGACAAAACGGCTTGAGGGAAGGGGGAGGAACAGAAAAGTGTTTCCAATATTTAACTCTTTATTCATACATTTGTACGGTCCAATTTCAAAAGGATATTATGGACTGCACAGACGTGTAATACAGTCAGTAAGAGAACAGTGGCCGAGGGTAACATTATAACAGTCGAGTTCTCAAGCGACTTTCAAAAGGCGCGATAGGGTTATATAAAGACGGCGTCAACCCACAACGGGCTCAAGCAGCTAAGAACAATGTACAAATGTGTGAACAATATATTGAGAGCTTGACAAAAGCTGACGAGACAACGATCCTTTCCGTAGGTGTGCAATCTCCGCGTTGACGAGTGTGAACCACTACGTCGTGATGCTGCGTTGCCCGGTAAATTAAAAGTGTGCTTGAAAATACATTTCTCCCGACTTCACATGCTCGGCATGCATCGCAGGATCGACAGCGTCGGTGAAGGTTCGCGTCACCGTGGGTGGAACGAACGTCGCGCTCCCCGAAACGTCGAAAGAAAACCGCTGCGGTGACCCGACACTGAACGGCATCGCAAAGCAGGACGGGAAAGTGTTAGTTTATAATTGTTTTTCCACACGAGTTTATATTGCATGTTAAGCGCTTGTTCGACTCAAGTGAGAATCGTGTAAAAAAAAAAAGCATCCGTCTCCCCGTACATTTTTACACGTATTTATTTACTTAAGATATATATATTTTTTAAATGGTACATTTTTTTTTCATTTGTCAAAATGACAAAATTCATTTCCCGTTGGAATTCTTGCCGGCCGGCAAGCAGCTAAACACTGTCCCCCGTCAGAGGAAGGCCTCAGAAGAGGATGTCGGAGAACTACTTCTGAAGTCACTTCAATAGGCCTCCTTTATCCATCACACCCTTTGTATGCCCAGCAAAGTTCACCATACATCAGGCAAACGGATAGTTTTCAATTTTGGTCTGTCCAATTTAGTGAAAATGCAATTACTTTGGTGGTCTCAGTCCAGTCACATTTTGTGACTTGGCTCAGACCCATCAACCCACTAAATTTGATAACTCAGTTTTTAACCGTCCAGATTCAACAGCAGGATCTCAGCAGTGCCAAATACATCGTCCCGACATGATATGAACCTCCTGAAAGAGGACTTATTTATTTTCTTCAATCAAACTGACGGCGAAAACACGAGAGAAATAACAAGAGCAACAAATACAAGACAGATACATAACCCAAAGAGACGAAGCAGCGGACTGCCACGCACAGGAGGACAGAGGGGGAGGTCGAAGTGGAATGAGGTCGAATCAGACCTGGGGTCAAGTACAGTGAACAATTACAGCAGCCTCGTTAACTCAAGCAACCATCGCAATTGCGTGGCGATCGGAATTGAGTACAGATGACACAATTTACAATCGTAATTGATCCAGAGTCTGGGTTGAATACAGTTTTCCTGTTTGTAAGATTATACTCTCTCGAGTGGGGGGAGGGGGGCGGCTGAGCTCATTCTAACGGAAGCCCTTCGCTAAATTTACAAGGCGGTACACGTTTGTACCTCTGTTTTTTTCAAAAGCTTGAGCGATGCGAACAAATTCCCCGTGGGCACTCGCTGTGACTAAGCAAGCGCCGTGGGTGTGTGTGTGCGTGAGTGCACGTAGCCTGGCACAAGCGCCGTTGCGACATCACCGCCACTTAGTGGCGGTTGGCGGTTGCTGTCGGTGTGCGTGCGGGGGGGGGGGGGGGGGAAAGAGCTGGGCGATGAATGAACGGTCAGCCCGGCTCAGACTTGGCTGGAGCGCGAACCGCCGCCGCCGCTGCGGCCGTAGTCGTCGTGCTTTGTGCGTTCGGAGAGCTTTGGGGTCGGGACGAAAAGGCGCCAAGGACTTTGCGCGACGCTCAGGCGAGGGAGCAGTAGCCCCCACAGCTCCCGGCGCCCGGCGTCGCCTCGTCTCTCCAAGCTGCACGCCGGAGCGGCTTTGGCCCTGACCCTTGCTCTCCCACAGGCCGGGCGTCTGGATGATCTTTTCCACCAGCTCTTCGAAGGCGCACTGCACTCCGTCTCGCGTCTTAGCGCTCGCCTCTGAGCAGCGTGCACGCACGCACGCGGTGGTGGAACACGCGCGCACGACACACACACACACAGGTCCCCCGCCGTGTAGACTTTAATAGACTGTTTAGGGGCAAGTGCCGTTAAGCGAGCAGCACCTATGAAGGCCGGCACGGCACACGAGGGGGGGTGTGGTGGCCAACACCACGCCCGGCCGTCTTTGTCTCCCAAGGTGGCGATGTTTTTACACAGCACCAGGTACTCATTTGAGGCCGAGTCGACCTCGGGGAGGCCCGGGGACCGGTTCAGATAATCGTCACCCGGTGTTGGTGTAAACGGGAATAGAACTCGTAGCGCAGCGCGCTAACCGCTGCAACCCACCCTCATCCCACACACAGAGGGGTCAAGCGCTGTGCTACAAACACAGGACGCATGATTATTTGTACTCGTGCTACTCTTATCGCACACACACTATCACGAAGGAACTTTGATTTCGATTTAAAGCTTTCGTGACTGCAGGGATTAATCTTCTTGGTTCTTTCGGTAAAGTCACGTAGAAGGGAAGTAATAAAATAATAAAAATAAAACATAATAAAATAATTCTCACGACGCGCCCTTTCCCCCCCTCCCAACCCAGCTTATATATACGCTCCAAGCTCGTGTGCTGTTTCATTCAGACGCTGTCTCCCCGACAGACCTGGTTTTCACCTGAGGACGGCTGCTTGCGTTGGGCCGAAACGTCGTGAGAATTATTTTATTATGTTTTATTTTTATTACTTTATTACTTCCCTTCTACGTGACTTTACCGAAAGAACCAAGAAGATGAAGGAACTTTGCTTTACAGACTGATCTTGTCTGCCAGGAGGGGTAAAATGTAAGTGATTTGTGGGCGATTTTATTTTTCTTTAGGGAAATCCGACAGTGATGCCGTCACAGATGGCGAACTCCGTTTAAATAAACGTCATAGGTCCTTTCACGTCCACAGGTATGGGTCGGCAAAATGGTTGGAAGTTTTAAATACGATAAAGCTAGTTTGTGGTGCTAAGAAATAAAATCAATAGCAAAGACCTCCAGTAAAACCTTGGATTGCGAGTAACTTTGTCTGCGAGTGTTTTGCAAGACAAGCACATTTTAAAAATAAATATTAATTTGATAAACGAGCGAGGTCTTGAAATACGAGTAGTACGTGTATACGCTTTGTCTGCCGAGCGTCACGTGATCACAACTGATATACGAGTGCTTTAGATTACAAACACGTTTCCAGAAAGAATTATGCTCGCAATGCAAGGTTTTACTGTAAAAGAAAATGTGTTTACCACATTGTCTTAGGGGTAAATCCAATACAGTAACACTGTACGATTCATCTTTTAAAAAGGTGGTAATACATATATTTCTTTCAACCTTATCACATGCATTATTTAACAGTGTCAGAATGTGTCAATTTGATTCTGGTTCATATGGACTTAGGTAAAAGCAGAAGTAGATGTGTAAGCTGCTGACAACTACTGCACTGCATTTTTAAAAGATTATACTATGCTCCCGAAAGTAAGATGCACCCCATACTTGTGCCTGGTGTCAATAAAGTTATACGAATCTAGTCACACACACCTCCAAGATTCATACTCTTAGGTTTTTTCGGTAAAGTCACGTAGGTAAAAATAAAATTAAAAGTTAATAAAAGTAATAATGGAAATAAAATAAAATAATAAATCACGACGTTTCGGAGGCAACACAAGTCTCCGTCATCAGGTGGGACCGTCACAGCTAAAATTACTGCATCCATGCAGTTGCCTCCGAAACGTCGTGATTTATTATTTATTTCTACTATTACTTTTATTAACTTTTAATTTTATTTTTTACCTACGTGACTTTACCGAAAAAATCTAAGAGTATGATCCTTGCAGTCACGAAAGTTTAAAAATCTAGAACTTCCAAGATTATCCGATGCTTTAAGATACAGGTAGAAAAAAAAAACAATGCGTCTTACAATCCTAAGAAGTAAGCGTGCGTGCGTGCGCACGCGCACAGATAGACTTACCGATGAACAGCATGGAATGTTTCCTGGCAAACTTCAAACCTTCTGTCCGATCCAGAACTCTCCCATCCTGCAAGCACAATCAGGAAGTGGCGGCAGAGGGTAGAAATAAAAACAACTCCCTCCACCCCTACCCACCGCGGCGGCTTTCGGCGTCAACAACAATGCCTTTTACCACCGAGCAAATGAAGGAAAGGTTATACATATCCTTTGGTTCTTTCGGTAAAGTCACGTAGGTAGAAAATAAAATAAATAAAACATTAAAAAAATACAACTAAAAAATCGTAAAGAAACAAAAACTCACGACGCTTCAATCGCAAACCACAAGCGGTCATCGCCGCCTAATGACGACCACTTATGTTGCGATCGAAACGTCGTGCAGTTTTTAGTTTGTTATTTTTAATTTTTATTCTTTGTAAATTTTATTTTCTATCTACGTGACTTTACGGAAGAAACCAAAGAGTATGAATACTTGCAGTCACGAAAGCTTCAGTCACGAAAGTTTTACGTCAGAAAGGTTACAAACCACTTGGTGCAATGCTCTGAAGAAGGGGCACTGCGAGATCGACTTAGAGAAGCCTTGCCAAGGTTAATTTTTTTGACACGTTTGGGACCTCAAATGTAAATAAAAACCTCCGTGAAGCTGGCTGCCTACGATCTCTAACAGTCGACACTGGGTTTTTTGTTTTACGATAAAAAGATACATTTTCACAATACGACTATTCATCGCAAGATCGATTCCCCATACTTGTTTCGAGCTGTGTTTAAGCATTTGAGTTGCTTTGTTCGTGTGCTTTTCCGTACAAGTAAAAAGATTACTCCACTGCAGCCGTCGACTGCTGAAACGGATCTCTACGTCGCCAGGGATGAAACCCGTGTCTGGCCGCTAAACCGTGACATGTTCATCCACGCTTTGTATCGTCTCCAATACCGCTTAGAGATTTAAAAAAAATTAAAGATGAAGTCATGCGCACATGGTATAGAGCGAGCTAATTTTTTGGCGCAGCATCAAGGCCACTCCCCAGGGGACTATCCTTTTACTCAGGCGCAGAGTACGCCGCGCGCATGCGTACGCCGTGATCTATGGCTGTTGGTCACGTTCCCGTGATGAAGTGCATGCATGTGCAAAAAAAACGTACACAGGAAGCACAGCTACATCTGCAGGTTCGCCGTTTCAATGCAACATTTCATTTATTTTTGTTTCATTTCGTTTCCTGCGTGACGTAACAACATCCCACAGCTGCCAACAACTGTTTCATTATCCAATCTTAATGCTCACAATATTTTCCCAGCACAGTTAACGAGGCCAAACGAAACATTCTCCGGTGGAACGCTTGCAAACAACAAGCAGGCAGTTTAGTGTGCTCATATTTTTTTTTATTTAGCTAGCGTTAACTTATTCTTGGTTCTTTCGGTAAAGTCACGTAGAAGGGAAATAATAAAATAAGAAAAATATTAAACAATAAGATTCTCACGACGTTTCGACTGCAACACAAGCAATCATCATCAGGTGTGAAATCCACAGCAAGAAAATTTGAAAAAAGTGGCGTTTTTTTCTTACCGAAAGAACCAAGAATATGAATCCCTGCAGTCATGAAAGCTTTAAATCTAAATTTAGCGTTAACTTGTTGTGCTATGAGAGTATTCATTTTAGCCGGGAAACCTTATTCTATGTTGATGCCGATTAATACTGTGGGTGTGTATTTTCCATCTTTAAAAAAGGATCCTGTGACGTCATTCGCAAAGAGTAAGCCCATTGTGTGCTGGGGTGTCACGGTCTGCCTTCGCCAAAATTTAAAGTGCACGCACAAAGTACTCCACTGGGATAATCACGTAGCAACATTGCCCCTTACTGCAAAACCACTGCACACCATGCCTGTTGAACATTGCGTGCTTTCGTGATGGTAGCATGTGTGTATATTGAACTTACTCTTTGGTTTTCTCGGTGAAGTCACGTAGATAAAAAATAAAAGAAATGAAAACAACTAAATTAAATCATGACGTTTCGGAGGCAACACAAGCTTTCCGTCTTCAGGTGGAACTGTTACAGCCAAAGTAGCTGGAGTACTACAGCGACCGTTCCAGCCAAAGTCGCTGTAGTACTAGTCGCTGTAGTACTAGTACTACAGCAGTATTAGTACTACAGCGACTACCTGAAGACGGAGGCTTGTGTTGCCTCCGAAACATCGTTATTAATTTAGTTGTTTTCATTTATTTTATTTTTTATCTACGTGACTCACCGAAAAAAACAAAAAGACTACCTGAAGACGGAAGCTTGTGTTGCCTCCGAACGTCGTGATTTAATTTAGTTGTTTTCATTTATTTTATTTTTTACCTACGTGACTTTACCGAAAAAAACCAAAGAGTATGAATCCTTGCAGTCACGAAAGCTTCAAATCTAGAATTATGTTGAACTTCTTTCGCATCGTACATAGCAAACCGTGCTCATGGACAAATAGGTAAATACAAAAGGCTGTTAAAGAAATTAATTTTAAATCTAGATGATTAAAAAGTGCATAGCTCCAGTGGCTTCCTAATATCAGAAGAAAAAGACTCAGAGACCCACAGAGATCAAGACTCGAATCGAACCAGAGACCCACAGACACCCAAAGAGATTCAGAGACTCAAATAGAACCACAGAGACCCATAGACACCCAGATAGATCCAGAGACTAATATAGAACCACAGAGACCCATACTCATATGTATGTTGAACTTCTTTCGTACGTAGCCAACCGTGCTAATCGGAGGTGCAGGGGAAGGACAACTTGCTCTTTTACGAATTGTGCAAACACCAAATGATTGATTTGATGTTCTACTGACTTGGGCCCTCGTGGAATGTGAACCACACAGAGGCGGGGAGATGTGCAAGGCTCACCTTGTCAATTTTGTTTCCCACCAGCATCTTGACGATGTCGCTGCGTGTGGTGTACGTCTCAAGCTCGCTCAGCCAGTTCTCCAGCTTCAAGAAGGTGTCTCGCTTGGTCACATCGTACACTGCCAAAAACACGAGGGGCACGTAAGAGAAATGCCCTTTGGTCGGTGCATTCTACCACGACGCTCGCTGCATAGCGCGCGGGGTGCATGGCTGGAGGGCACGGTTAAGGCAAAATGTAACTTCGACGCAGAAACGCCAACTTGACGGGGGAGCGTACTCAGCGTGGGCACAACAGCATTTCCCAAACACCACCTTCACCACCAATGCAGCAGCAGCACAACAAGTACCACCACCACTACTGAGAAAACAACAATATCACTTCGCCACCACCACCACTATCATCAGCACTCCTGCAATTTAATAGTGACTGCGCAATGTCATTTGCCGATTGCACAACACCACGTGGACACAACTGGGACGATGTGGTCACATATCTAATTATGCCCTGATGATTCTGAAAAACGGGTACACGTATATATTATGCATTTAACGAGTCATAACCGCCCCGAGGAAACCAGCTCACGTGCAAGTGCTACGCGATTGCTACATCACAGGACTGCGAGAGATTGCGACGCTTCTAAGCCTCCATCCAGCAGTGGAGAGGTCTTTGATGATCATGATAATGATGGAATATTAAAGCTCAGACCCCCCCCCCCCCAACAATGGAATGTGGAATTCCCACCACTAACTCAAGGCAACACCCTCAAAGGAGTACGAGGTTGTTGCTTGTTTAGAGGACAGAGACACTTTTGTTTTTGATTACAGACTGAAGTTGTGACTTGTACGTGTCCATGCACACTCTTCTGCGGGAAAAACACATCGTTCCAAAGGAATATTTAGTCGTGTTCCCTTCTAAACAAACACCAACATTTCACCACCGTAATTTAACAAATTCCTGCGGAGGGAGCTGGTAGGAACATTGGGTTGCTCGGTCAATGGCCAGGGTCAACGGCGGCGTGGTGTATTCCGCAAATATGCCCGACTGTGAGGGCGGGCACAAGCCGGCGTGAGTAGGTTAAACGTTTTATAAGGGCACCACGGGGTGACCAGCCCCTTCCCACCCAGCCCCACCCTCCCCACCCAGCCCCTCCCTGCACGACGGATGGACGGACACAATAATCCCCTGTGGGCTGGTGTAACCAGGAGGTTCCTAACAGTACAAGCTGCCATTGCTTTACACTGCTTCAGGAATGTATTTAGAACAAAGGTCCGTTTCTGTTTAACCGATTAATAATACCCATAACGGTTGGAACACGACCCCAACGTAAACATTCGCGGACGCATGTACCGCGCACATACGAGCCGATCATACACATAACGTGGCAATACATTTTAACATGTAGGCTTTCGCGACCAATGTTATTCATAATCAAAGTTTTTGGGTTTAGATCGCGTTATTTATAAATGTGTCATAACCCTCCACCACCCGACACGGCCAATCAGTAAAAAAGTGTCACGTTGACAAAAGACAAATAGTTCACTGCTTTAGCCCACCGGTGTGTTGAAGCCAAATTGTAAATGTTGTGGTTTCACGCTTCAACACACCGGTGGGCTAAAGCAGTGAACTATTTGTCTTTTGTCAACGTGACACTTTTTTACTGATTGGCCGTGTCGGGTGGTGGAGGGTTACGACACATTTATAAATAACGCGATCTAAACCCAAAAACTTTGATTGTGGCAATACATGTTTGCTCTGTAGTCAAACCACAACTCGAAAGTCAGTACGTCTCCTTGCTCATGTAAGTAAACTAAACTATTTGTTATTCACCGGGTAATGGAATTCACACCCTTACTACAACAACAGCAGCAAGAATGTGTATGTTGAACTTCTTTCGCACCATACGTCGCCAAACCGTGCTATTCAGAGGCGCAGGATGGTAACACAAACAACGATGGCAGTTTTGGGTGGCCGTCATCCAGCAGTGGATTGACCACGACCGATGACAAGAGCACGTTCAACATTCATGGCATTTATAACGAGGATAACAATAATGACAAGTGGGTGGGAAGTGCTTATCCCCCCCGTGTGTGTACAGCCCTGGGCCAGTCGCGAAGGCGACAGAGTCTGTTTGATGGCACACGTTGTGACATGGGCCAAATCGGAAACTCAAGTTTTTCGATCCCATAGGGATGATGGGAGAGTCAACGCCTGACCAGGAAATGTATTCAAATATTTAAACCTACTTTTTATTTGACCAGGTAAGGCCCACGGATCTATATAGCTCTTTTTCAGAAGAAACCTTGCTGCAAATGATAGCTCAAGGAAGTGGCTTTTCACGTGTACATTTATCGCAGGCAAATACTCTAAAACGCATATTTCTAATCGCGGAGGGAGAAACCGCAGGACCCGGAGAAAAAAAATCACCGCGACCACGGGGAGAACATGCAAACTCCAAATATACAGCAGGAGTCAGGGTCGGGATCAAACCCACAAGTTCCCGCATACCAGGCTAGGGGTCGTAACATCTCGCCACATGTGGCATGCCATACACAATGGGATGCCACCTCTTCTGCATCTGAGGCTATGATCCATAACATAACCATTGTTGATGTTCACAAACTCATTCAGTTTAGCCCGCGTAGCTACAAGAGCTGTTTTTTTTTTAAGCTTGCGTGTTCCTTAACCAAAGATTACCACCAAATCACTAGGAATGTGCCCAATCTCATCAGATCTCAGGAGCTAAGCGGGGTTTCGGTATGGATGGCGCTTGGATAGGCAACCATCTAGGTTGTATGTGCAACTTTTTCCACACCATTCGTAGCCAACCGTGCTCATCGGATTTGTGGGGGAAGGACAAAAAAAATGTACCCGTAAAAACAAAGTTTTTCACTATAAATCCTTTATATGCGTGGCGGCTAGAGTCCTCTCGTCCTCTGGCTTGAGATGGCTGCCACCTATGGATCAGATGATTGCCTGCCACCATTAAGCAATTGGTAATTAAATATAAACAAATTTTCCTAAATGTTAAACATTTTGGAAAAAAACGCACAACGAGTCTGTGTGCCAAATGTCAGCTCGATTGGATCACGGGAAGTGGGTTAAAAAACGACCGAAAGATTTGCACGGTCGTAAGCGCGCAAGCAAGCAAGTGAACTTAATATAAAGGATTTAAAAAAGGGCCGAATTATTGCAGACTCACTTTGCCCACACACATTGTGTAGCACGGAAGCACGGACTCACCGAGAATCACCCCCTGCGCTCCTCTGTAGTAGCTCGGCGTCAGGGTGCGAAAGCGCTCTTGGCCAGCCGTGTCCTGTGCGGGAGAAATTCAAAGTGCCGCGCGAAAGCAAGCAATTGCAAAACAAGGCTGCACCGTCACCCGCATTTCTTACATTTCATATTCGACCCTTCTTAATCGCGCGAGGCTAATCGCAAAGGCCGCTACAGTTACACAGATAAATGTAATCTGCCAGTAGGAGGTGATCTTGCCATGTGGTTTCACCCGATTAAAAGTACATTTGAGCTTTACAAATGTGTAACATGTCCGGGGTAAAGAAGACTAGCCTGCAAGACAAAGAACATTTGCAATGCAACATAATGTCCACTGACCAGTTTTTTTTAACATGCAAAACAACGACAGTGTATCTTCTTGGTTCTTTCGGTAAAGTCACGTAGAAGGAAAATAATAAAATAATAAAAATAAAACATAATCAAATAATTCTCACGACGTTTCGGCCACAACGCAAGTATCCGTCTTCAGGTGGAGAACAGGTCTGTCTTACGTTGTGGCCGAAACGTCGTGAGAATTATTTTATTATGTTTTATTTTTATTATTTTCCTTCTACATGAATTTACCGAAAGAACCAAGAAGATGAATCCCTGCAGTCACGATAGCTTTAAATCGAAACGACAGTGTACCTTATTGCTGTTCCAGCAGCAAGCAGTATATTAAGTAGTATCGCTCTCTGATTTGTTTTTGGGTTGCATGTCAAGACATCGTGCCATCGTTTGGCACGATGTCTTGACATTCTGTTCCACGTCCTGGGAGATTGGTTAGGAACTGTCCAATCTCACCACCAACTTTATTCAGGTCCTTGAAGAAGCTACCAGCACGTGGAATCGAAAGGCATCACGTCCAAATGAACATGCGGTACAATCTGAAAACAACCATGCGTCGAGAGCGAAACAGCGCGACCACGAACACCCGTGCAGTAGGATCACCTACGATATTACTGAATTGCCTGCACAGCACAACGCTTGAACGTGAACAGAAATCCACCCTTAATTTCCACAAATGGATGGCGTGCGACAACGAGCCGAGCGAGCGCTCTGGCGACTCACCCAAATAGCGAGCTTTGCTTTGTTTCCATCCACAGCGATTGTCTTCACTTTAAAATCAACACCTGGAAGAAAAAAAGACCCACAAAACACTGAGTACCCCCCGCTCAACCCCACAGAATTAAACACAAGGTCTGCACTGACAAGGCTTTGTCTCGGGGGTTTCTAAGTAATGGCTTGAATGCCCGAGCCAAATGCAGACAACTAAACCAGCCAAAGTGATCAAAGGGTGTGGGGGGGCCAAACGTGGCAATTAAAAACGGCGCTGAAGGCGACGAGATCCTTGGCAGCCACATTACGGTTGTCATGGTGCCCACCACCTCCCCTTCCCGATGATGTCATTCACGTGATGTCATTCCGTGATGTCATCTCGTTGTATATCCTCCTAACACAGCGGTTTCTCAACCTTTTTTTGGCGACTTGTTGAATTTTGTTTCAACCGAGTAACCATCAACCACCACCCCCCCCCCCCCTTTACCCGACCCAACGTGGTTCTTAAAATAAATGTACGACTAACTTAGCCAAGCAACTGCAAGCGAATTAAAAATAAATCAACGGACGCTCTGCACGCGTGACGTAATTTGTTCACGCTCGCCGGCTACTCTTGAAACCACATTGTGTACGGTCAATGAGTTTAAAAAGATCATTTATGTCGTTCAAGGTTACCGTGAGGATTAAACACTTGCCGTAGTTATTTTATATTGGCATATTTATACAACGTGATTAATGCACCAATTATTCTAATGTATGATATAATTTCACACATTTGTAGTGGGTACAAACTTGTCGGAGACTTCCTCTTAGAGGCTGCACGTTTATTACAATAAACGCAATAACAGTTTTCCCTGACGCAAAGGGGTAAGGCCCCTTCCACCCGATATCCGGCTAGCGTGTCCTCTTCCCCCATGGGCTTGAGATGTCTTCAGTTCTTAGAGTGGGCGACAACTGCTGGTCCCGTTGAGGGGACCGGCTTTTATACACGAGTCGGGGCTCACTCCGCCCCTAGCCGGGTACACCCCTCTGGTTACGAGATAACCAGGGGGGGGGGGGGTGACCTTGGCTTAACTGCCACTCAACCTAAGCCTCCCATCTGCCCCCTGTTGACCTATCGGCGTAGTAGCAGGCTAACTTTCCGTTGCGCTTTAATAATGGCGATACACATTTATAAACCACCCCACGTATGGCCAGGGGTCCGCGTACCCTCGGTTGAGAACCACAGTCTTAAAACACACTGTTGTTATCTCGAATTAAATACATCCGAGGGCAAAAGCATATGAGAAAGTGTTGCGGTAACCGTGAAAAGGCATGGTTTTTCTTCCTTGATTTTAAATATTTTTATTTCCTTACCGATCGTCGCAGCCAGCTCGGGGTCAAACGTGTCATCCGTAAACCTCAAGAGCAGGCTGAAAGAAGAAGAACAACAACATTCGAACGTGATGCACATCGTCAACCCACGAGATCGCCCCGCACAACGGCAGCTTGCGACAGGACGCCCCCCAGACAAACGAGGCATCGGGGCATGTAATGACTGCATCGATTAAAAACAATTCTCACGACACCCATATTGAACCAAGCGTAGGGAAATCAATTCGTTTGCAAATCATCTGTGTGTTTTTGAGCCCGTGAGTCTTGTTCGATGGGTGGCCACCATGCTTAAGAGTTGTACACGGTGGTCTAGATGTCTTGTGACCCCCATTTAATTCTCTAAAACTTCATGTGTTTACTTACATATCAATCGGTGTGAAAACAGAAATTAATTGGCAAAGGAAAAAAAGCATAGAGGTCTGTCAGCAATTTGAGGGGGGTCACAAAACATCTGGACCACGCTGTAGACTCTGCTGCTAGTCCGCGTTGTCGGTAGGGGGCAGTGCGTGAAAATTCATGCGCGTCAATTTACAGGTCCATATAAAATAGACATTTTCTTTAAAGTTCTGATTGCTATTTTTGGTTCTTTCGGTAAAGTCACGTAGAAGGGAAACAATAAAATAATAAAAATATACAACAATAAAATTCTCACGACGTTTTTTAAATTATTTTATTGTTTCCCTTCTACGTGACTTTACCGAAAGAACCAATAATATGAATCCCTGCAGTCACGAAAGCTTTAAATCGAAGTTCCAATTGCTGTCAAAGCACAACAGCCTTTAACCACAATTACCATCACCACGACCAACCACCACCACTACTGACCCAGCCGTGTTTTAAAGGCACAATCTGCGAGTCAGCGTAACTCTGTCTGCCCTCATTACAACTACAAACATCAAAAGTCACCACTATGACCACTATCACAACTACCAAAAGACAAAACAAAGATCCCTCCCCACCTCGTATAACCTTAACAGACTGTTGAGGCAAGTGCTGTTAGCGAGCACCTATGAAGGCCGACACTGTGGCACACGAGGAGGGGGCGGTGGGGGGGGCCAGCACCACGCCCGGCCATGGGTCACAATCCACTATTGGCATCCCCATCTCTCACAATCCTGAAACCTAACAATCCACCTCGCGCACGAACCGATTTCAATGCTCCGCCTCCTCAGTACGCGTCCTCCTCCTGTGAACGTTCCACTCCTGCGATGCCGCTCCGACATCTTTGCTGACCATCGGCCAGCGACGGGTGCCGTCCAAGCAGACTGACGTTTAATAACCGTTAAAAAATGGTCATCAATCAGCGCGTTTATTCTTATCCGTGTGCTCCGCTTTCTGCCTCTCAATGAAATCACGAGCATTAATGTCGCCGTGCATCTTTGGTCAATATACTTTCTTTTTTTTACACAAACCTCAACGCAGTCTTCTTATCAAACGTAAACTTTAAAATGCGTGTTAAAGGTCACTTCCTGCATGTCACAGAACATGATGCAATTGGAAGCTTGTGTGGTACTTCATGGAACGGATTGCTGTATCCACGCGAAAATCGCCGCGTCAACTCGTGGCACTGGCACTTCTCAAAAGGCCCTCCAGAGACACTGTACACAAGTATCAGTGGCTGTCCTCTCGACGACTTGACTTATCACTTTACACAACGGCGTCAAAACTCCCTGCATGCTTTTTAGCCACCAACAGACACAGACCCATCGTGGGTCAAGACCCATTGGACTGCAGGTTAGAGGCTAAATACCTTCAGCTTTGGCAGCACTCCACACACCTATTCGCACGCGGTGGTATTTTTTGCAGACGCATGCATACCGCACGCTTGCCCTAAATGTAAACGGGCAGACGCATTTATTTGGCCAGTATTAGTCTTTCACCTCCACACGCTGTGGAGATTACGAGCAGTGGAGTGCTAGAACCACATTTTTGGGAAACCCGGCAAGTGAGACGTGAGAGAGGTGGTGGACCGATTGTGTCAGAAAATACTTCAATTATCTAGACACAACAGCTTGGCATTGCATTTCAATTCAATACGGCTCTGTGTAGTGAGTAATAGACGACGATGATGATGACGACGACAACGATGGTTGAGTAATAAGGGATTGCATAACACACCTCGTCGACAATGATTCAACAGGACTCAATATGTTTGCCAAGTAAGTCATGCCGGTGATTAAAATACACTGACACACTACTCACCCCCAACAACTACATCCTTCTGGCAAAGTTTTATTTTGTTCTGAACACAAGATCATTACTGTACACTTAACCACGCCTGTACGCCAAATGTGCTAACATTACTGAAGCATCTCAACAAGCTTAAGGATTAGATTCTTATTCTGGTTCTTTCGGTAAAGTTTTAGATGCTCGGAGTCATACATAATAATATTTCCCTTCTACTTGACTTTACCGAAAGAACCAAGAATATGAATCCCTGCAGTCACGTAAGGTTTAAATCGAGATTAGATTCTTCATTTAAAGCTTTCGTGACTGCAGGGATTCATCTTCTTGGTTCTTTCGGTAAAGTCACGTAGAAGGGAAATAATAAAATAATAAAATAAAACATAATAAAATAATTCTCACGACGTTTCGGCTACAACGCAAGCAGCCGTCCTCAGGTGAAGAATGAAACACCACCAAGCTTGGAGCGTATACCCAGCTTAAATATACGCTCCAAGCTGGTGGTGTTTCATTCTTCACCCGAGGACGGCTGCTTGCGTTGTAGCCGAAACGTCGCGAGAATTATTATATTATGTAGAATTTTTATTATTTTATTATTTTCCATTCTACGTGACTTTACCGAAAGAACCAAGAAGATAGATTCTTCATGTTGCGCGCACCTGCGTTGTCATGTGTGTGTGTTGTCAAGAGCAAGACTCGTATCGACGACTTGGGTTAAGTCAACCCAAACTTAGAGAGACTGAACTGTATGAGAGCATGAGACTCATAAGCAACCTCAATAGACACTGTATGACTCCGAGCATCTAAAATTAAACGGGGGCTAGGTTGACAGGCATAGGCATGTGAGCTGAACACACTGTCACCATAATCGTGGTAAACATTGACTGCCTATAAATACTTCGTAACAACACACAACGTATTCTTGGTTCTTTCGGTAAAGTCACGTAGAAGGGAATAATAATTAAAAATATATATATATTAAACAATAAAATTCTCACGTTTCGACTGCAACACAAGAAATCATCATCAGGTGTAAAATCCACAGCAATTTTTTTTTTTAAAGTCACATTTTCTTGCTGTGGATTTCACACCTGATGATGATTGCTTGTGTTGCTGTCGAAACGTCGTGAGAATGTTATTGTTTAATATTTCATTATTTTATTATTTCCCTTCTACGTGACTTTACCGAAAGAACCAAGAATGAATCCCTGCAGTCACGAAATCTTTAAATAAAATTTACCGCCACAACGTATTAATAATGTTTTATATACGTTCTACTTTGCATCTCGCGCTTAATTCCATCGCCTGGATGAAGACCCTTCTTACGCCATGTCGGTCACGGAGAGGTTTTGTTTACTATACTTCATCATGCTGGTCAGAGGGGCGCCGAGGGGACGAGATGCTAACTACCTCGCCTGGTATACAGGAGGTCATAGGTTCGATCATGATGCTGACGCCTGTTGTATGTCGGGTTTGCACCTTGTCCATGTTGTCGTGTGGATGTTTCTCAAGGTCCTCCCGCTTTTTCCCTCCACATTTAGAAACACACGTTCAGAATATTTGGCTGCTGCTATACATTTCCACATCGTCGAGCCGTCATTTACGATAGCCGGGTCACTTCTAAAAAAGGACTATATAGCTATTTTTATTTACCTGGTGAAACAAAAAAATGTTTAGTTTAATTCCTGGTCAGGCATTGACTCTTCCCATCATCTCTATGTGTTCAAACAAAAAATTGAGTATCCGATTCGGCCCACGTTAAAATGTGCCATGGATTTTGTACGTCCTCTTGTCATCAGTCGTGGTCAAAATCCAAAGCTGGATGACAACCACCCAAAGTTTGTGCTACTATCTCGCACCTCTGATTAGCACGCTTAGTGACGTAAGGTGCAAAAGAAGTTCAACATACATACATATTTTTGCTACTGCTGTTGTTGTAGTGAGAGTGTGAATTCAATTCCTTGTCCCAGGCTCGACTCTCCTCCCATCATCCTTTCGAGGTCGATAAACACAAGTACTGCTTGGAGCAAGTCAGAATCAGAAACTGTATTTAAACTGCAGCAGGAATCCGTTAAGCTATAAAGCTCTTTCACAGATGTCCAGGAGGGCACGGGTCAAAACGTCACGATAACCAACAATACAAAAACACGATAGAAGTGCAAAGTGTAGGAAATATAAATAAATCACTTACAAAATACATACAAATAAATCTAAACAATTTATTTATCTAACCAGCCTTATGTCTTAGGACTCTAAGACTATAAACACAGAGATAAGCGCCTCCCATTCGCTGTTAACCTTGTTACAATATTTTGCTGTCTTTTCTTGGATTTTCTGTTTGCACATAGTCACTTTAAGATGTTTTCTTGTTCATGTTTTTGTTTTCTGTTTGTTGCGGTTGCACCCGATTCAAGAGCCGAATGGCTCACAGGGCTATACCTAATAAATGAACTTGAACTTACAAATATTATACTCGTTAGTGGCGTTATCTTCATCACCACCAGCGACGGTCAATCCACTCAATCCACTGCTGGCTGCAACCCTCCCCCCAAGCCTTCCCCATCCTTCACGACTCCGCTATGTGAGAATCCACCTCGCACTTTGTACATGACTTGGTTCCATCGCTCGATCTCCTTAAAAGAATGTCCTCTAGGACGCGTTTCGTTCGTTAACTGCCACTCCCGTCATTGTTGTACTTGATGTTGTTCAGAATATTTATACTGGAGGAATCCGATGAGCTATAAAGCTCTTTTTCACAGGTGTCCACAGTCGGGATAGGTAAGAACGATACAACAACAAACAATACAAAAACACGATAGGAGTGCAAAGTACAAGACAGGTAAGAAAATCACCCAAACACAAACAAATACTAAATTTTGATTTAAAGCTTTCGTGACTGCAGGGATTCATATTATTGGTTCTTTCGGTAAAGTCACGTAGAAGGGAAATAATAAAATGATAAAAATATAAAACAATAAAAATTCTCACGACGTTTCGACTGCAACACAAGCAATCATCATCAGGTGTGAAATCCACAGCAAGAAAATTTGTGGATTTCACACCTGATGATGATTGCTTGTGTTGCAGTCGAAACGTCGTGAGAATTTTTATTGTTTTATATCTATATTATTTTATTATTTCCCTTCTACGTGACTTTACCGAAAGAACCAAGAATACAAACAAATACAACAACTAAACTATCCCCATCCTACTAGACAAAGCCCACCGAGGTATTCACTTATTTTTCAAAAGCGACCTGGCCACAAATGAGCATTGTTAATTCTATTACATACTGTACTGTGTAGTAATCGTTATTATCCCATGTCATCTTGGTTCGCATAATAATCCTTGTAACTTTTATTCTTCTTGTGATCATTATTAATCCGTTATCATTATCTTGGTTATTACGGTATTCTTACCGGTATTCTTACCGTTATTGGTTATACTTGTTGCTGTTATATTATCTGATGGTTTCTTTCGCCTGTTACTGTGTTACCATTGTTATACAGTAATTGTAAATACTTAAGTATGATCATCGTCAGCGTTACTACTCATTAGCAGCGTTTTGATGAATGTTAAGAGTTGTTGGTATTCCTCTTATCCACGTCTCGTTTTGTCACCATTAACCTTGCTTTAACCACTGTTGTTTGTAATGCTTATTGTTACACATCCCGAGTGATATAACGCCGTTTAAGAGTTGGTCCACTCACTGGACTGAGTTTTTAGAGTGAACCAATCTGCCCCGATCTTTTGAGTGTCGTTCCCCCTCGAATGCAGTGAGGTGGCAATTTGTCCAATAATCTTCGGGTTTCTATCGGACAAAGATAATCCTCACAAATGGAATCGACCAGAAGCCCAGTGTGCAGTTGGACCTCCTCCTGAAAACTAATCTTGAGACTCAGCGAAGCTTTCCTGCATACATTTGCGTTATAATCGCAATGGTACGTGGTCATCCTTCTTGACGTAGTTATTATGTTGCAATTGTTACACCACTTATTATAATGATCACGTTATCACTGTTATTGTGAGCGTTTGTGTTCCAATTGTGAATAATATCATTTTCAGGTGATGAATATTGTTATAATTCGTTGACATTATCCTTGTTATTGATATTCTTGTTGTCAATGTTACTACTGCTGTTAATGCTTATTGCGATTATACCTGACACAAGTGGAGCGTACTAGTTGTCAATATTAGTGTTAGTCGTATTATTATCCTTGTCATTGATACGGGCGTTGTTTCCATTGTCCCAGTTATCGGCAATTTTGTCATTTCTACGATTGATACTGCACCACTAACAACAATCATCATCAGCCCTTTGTCATCGATCCACTGGTGTACGGACGTCTCGATAAGCCGCCGCCGCCGCAGACGCCACCGCTCATCATCAATACCATCGGCACGAGTTCTTCCTGCAATTTTACTCTATAGATACCAATGATCACAAACTCGTAAGCCTTTACCAACAACACTCCGCTACGAGGTCGAACTGCGACATCGACAAAAGCAAACAGAGTGACGATGGCGTCACCACAGGGCATCTTGCCAGGCGAGACGCACTTTCATTTTCACCAGGCCGCCACGCGAAGTGCAGAATGCCCGGGTGACAGGTCATGGGGCAGACCCATGTGTTCGGGTTAAGTGAGATGACTGACACATTGTATAAACTAAGCCCCCATCTCAAGAAAAAAACCAAAGTCAAAAGTGATTTCTTACTCGAATGAGCCATTGAAGCAAATTCCACATTCGCATGGCGGGGGCGAACCTATCTATAGGGCAACCGCTTCTGACTTCCCACAAATCCGCACTCATGTTATTGACCCGAGAGACGTTACTAAACAAAGCCAGTGTGTTCTTCACTAATTTTCAGAGGGGGGAGGGGGGGGTGGTGGAACTTTCACCGACAAGACATCACCAGTGTGAGGTCCGCCACACCATTCGAAACCATTGGGGTGTGACATCAACACGACGATGATGATAATGCTGGGGGGGGGGGGGGGGGGGAAGGTGTTGTCACTATAATCTTTGTTTTGTTTTTGTTGCTGCCACTGTTTGTGTCTTGTCAGGGACCCGCACCAGAGGTCGCAAACGGGTTTTGATTCCTTACCCGTACCCGGCCGCACCAGGGTCGCAAATGGGTACCCGTACCCAGCGGGATACGGGTACCCGTTCCCTACCCGAAATGAGTGACAAACGGTGACTCACCAGTGACTCTTGGCCTACCCGTACCCGGCCGCACCAGGGTCGCAAAAGGGTACCCGTACCCGGCTGGATACGGGTACCCGTTCCCTACCCGTACCCTACCCGTACCCTACCCGAAATGAGTGACAGTGACTCACCAGTGACTCACGGCCTACCCGTACCCGGCCGCACCAGGGTCGCAAACGGGTACCCGTACCCGGTACCCGGCCGGGTACGGGTAGCCGGGTATCGGGTACCCGGTTGCGACCTCTGACCCGCACTGAAGGCCACCATGGGCCCCGCCAGTGACCCGCGGGCCTTGCAACGAACACCACAGGGCTAAGCCAACCCCCGCAAGCAGGATTTTGACCTCGCCCTGGGCTAACAAAACAACCAAACCACCACCCACTACCACTACCACCACCTCACCTGGACTTGCCAACGCCGCTCTCTCCGATGATGAGAATCTTGAGCGTGGTGAGAATGTCCTCCTCCATAGCGCAAGTCTCTCACCGGCGCTCAGCCTCAACTCGCCCGATGTTATCGAACTCGCGCTCAATCACCCCGTATCGCCGTGATCCGCTCAAGGCGAGGTGGTGGGTGTGGGGTTGAGAGAGGAACAACAACAACAACAGCAGCAGCAGCGAGGAAGAAGCGCTGCCGTGAATTTTTTCTCCCTTGAGGCGATCGGCGCGGGCGGTGACGATCAACAGAGAATGGGTGGCGCAAGGCACGCCGGGAAAGCGCCACGCACAGGAAGTTGTGTGTGTGGTGTGGACGCGTCACGTCCGGTCACGTGCGTCGGTTGGTGTTGGCTCCGGTCGCGGAGGTTTTTTTAAATTATTAAATTCTTTGTCGGCGCTTTGTCTTACGTCACGTCCGGTCACGTGCGTCGGTTGGTGTTGGCTTCCGGTCGCGGAGTTTTTTTTAAATTATTAAATTCTTTGTCGCGCTTTGTCTTACGTCACGTCCGGTCACGTGCGTCGGTTGGTGTTGGCTTCCGGTCCGCGGAGTTTTTTTTAATATTAAATTCTTGTCGGCGCTTTGTCTTACGTCACGTCCGGTCACGTGCGTCGTTTGGTGTTGGCTTCCGGTCCCGGAGTTTTTTTTAAATGAAATTCTTTGTCGGCGCTTTGTCTTACGTCACGTCCGGTCACGTGCGTCGGTTGGTGTTGGCTTCCGGTCCCGGAGTTTTTTTTAATTAAATTCTTTGTCGGCGCTTTCTCTTACGTCACGTCGGTCACGTGCGCGCTGTCGTTTTTGTTTGTTTTTGTAGTTTCTGTGGCTCAACAACATTGTGAATTAGGATCTATAATAGAGGATTCTGGGTTAGATCATTTATGAAATAAGAATATATTAAACAATAATGTATTAAATCAAATTATATTTAGTTATATTTTAAATATATATTAAATGATCATATATTGAGGAAACTCTTTGGTTTTTTTCGGTAAAATTACGTAGGTGAAAAAAAAAGTTTTTTAATTGGTTATTCTTTTTTCACCTCCGTGACTTTACCGAAAGAACCAAAGAGTATGGACCCTTGCAGTAACGAAAATTTCAAATCTAGAATATATTGATATTATTAATAACATATAAAATGACAAACATTTAATAAGATATTAAATAATATATTAAATTATATATTTAATACTATATTGTATAATTAAGTATTATAATGAGCCAAGAATGTCTGTGTGTCTTGCGCATGACGTCACAATCCACGTCAATTCACTCATTAATAATCATGAGCAGGTGACGTCCTTCAAATAGTGACGTCACTCCTCATGGGGGGGGGGGGGGCGAGTCGCCTCCTCCCCCCTACTCGGCGTCAACTCACAACCCTCATATTTGGTTCTTTCGGTTTAAGTCACGTCTAAAGATAAAATAATAAATTAAATTAAATAATAGCATACGACGTTTCGATTGCAACACAAGCAATCATCATCAGGTATAATGAAATAGCGACATAAAATCTAACCAGAAAAACTATAGACAGACATATAAGCAGACAGATATCACCAAGATACGTAGAGGGAGCAACACAGGAACCAGAGAGGGGTGATCGTCTCTGTGGGGTGGCCCTTAATAGACAGAGGGGGGAGGAGGCAGAGAGAGGGAGGGGGTTAGAGAAAACATTTGCATATCAATGAGTGGACAACAAACAAGGTTCTGCAAGTGCGATGACACGGCAACGCAAGTCTGAAAATCAGGAGGACAAACTCTAAAATTCAATAACCTAGCAAAATATCGAAATGTAATGTAATACAACACAGAGGGTCGGTCAACACACAATTAACGCATAGCCTGGTTGATTACGTATTTCAAAGATTGCTAAGTTAGAATTTAAGTGTGAACATTCCAAAGAGAAGACACAGGCAGAGAGAAGAGAGAGAGAAAAAAAGGATAAGCTCAAAACTTCCCCGTTAGAAAGTGGTTCAATCTTAATTTTAGAAGCTTTCGTGACTGCAGGAATTATTATTTGGTTCTTTCGGTTAAGTCACGTCTAAAGATAAAATAATAATTACACATAAATCACAACCCTCACTTCAAAGGCCAGAACCCTCACGTCACGTGATCTCCGCAACGCTGTTTAGACATAGAAGTAAAAACGGACGTCATGATGAACAAGGGATTATAACCTTTAAATGAAATAGGTCTGTGTCACCGCGGCCTTAAAAAGTGCGCACGAATGGACGCAATGAATATCACTTCGCCGTCTGCTTTTCGCTTGCAAAATGCTAAATATTAAATAGCACGATATTAACAATATGTATAATAATATTTAACGTAAGATTTCATTTATTATTTTATTTAACATAATGTATTCTAATTTTATTTAGTATTATTAATATAACATATAATTTACTCGATCTTTCCCAAAAACTCTCGACTATGAATATTGGTCGCGAAATCACGACTACTGCTACCACGTGTTGAATCGCTTTTGGAATTTAGTGCGGCGGCCACGGGTGACGTAATTGCTGGTGACGTATTTGCTGGTGACGTAATTGCTTACTCGGACGCGGGCACGTGGGCGTGAACTGTTGGACTCGACGACATGACGTCATCAGTGCTGGTGTGGTTGGGTGGGGGTTGATTGGGAGTGGGGGGGGGTGAGAGTGGTGGGGGGGGGGGGTGAGGGTGGGGGGTTTGAGAGTGGGGGGGGGGGTGAGAGTGGGGGGGGGGGTTGAGAGTGGGGGGGGATGCGAGTGGGGGGGTTGAGAGTGGGGGGGGTGAGAGTGGGGGGGGGGTTGAGAGTGGGGGGGGGATTGAGAGTGGGGGGCGGGGGTTGAGAGTTGGGGGTGGTTGAGAGTGGGGGGGGTGAGAGTGGGGGGGGGTGAGAGTGGGGGGGGGTGAGAGTGGGGGGGGGGGTTGAGAGTGGGGGGTGGTTGAGAGTGGGGGGCGGGGGTTGAGAGTGGGGGGGGGTTGAGAGTGGGGGCGGGGGTGAGAGTGGGGGGGGGGGGGGTGAGAGTGGGGGGGTGAGAGTGGGGGGGGGGGTTGAGAGTGGGGGGGGGTGAGAGTGGGGGGGGGTGAGAGTGGGGGGGGGGTGAGAGTGGAGGGGGGTTTAATGGGGGGGGTGAGAGTGGGGGGGGGGGTTGAGAGTGGGGGGGTGAGAGTGGGGGGGGGTGATAGTGGGGGGGGGGGTGAGAGTGGGGGGGGGGTGAGAGTGGGGGGGGGGGGTGAGAGTGGGGGGGGGGTGAGAGTGGGGGGGGGTGAGAGTGGGGGGGGGGTGAGAGTGGGGGGGGTGAGAGTGGGGGGGTTTAATGGGGGGGGGTTGAGAGTGGGGGGGGGGTGAGAGTGGGGGGGGTTGAGAGTGGGGGGGGGGGGTGATAGTGGGGGGGGTGAGAGTGGGGGGGGGTGAGAGTGGGGGGGGGGGGGGTGAGAGTGGGGGGGGGGGGTGAGAGTGGGGGGGGGTTTAATGGGGGGGGGTTGAGAGTGGGGGGGGGGGTGAGAGTGGGGGGGGGGTGAGAGTGGGGGGGGGGGGTGAGAGTGGGGGGGGGTTAATGGGGGGGGGGGTTGAGAGTGGGGGGGGGGGGTGAGAGTGGGGGGGGGGTTGAGAGTGGGGGGGGGGGTTGAGAGTGGGGGGGGGTTGAGAGTGGGGGGGGGTGAGAGTGGGGGGGTGAGAGTGGGGGGGGGGGTGAGAGTGGGGGGGGGGTGAGAGTGGGGGGGGGGTGAGAGTGGAGGGGCGTTGAGAGTGGGGGGGGGGGTTGAGAGTGGTGGGGGGGTGAGAGTGGGGGGGGTTGAGAGTGGGGGGGGGTTGAGAGTGGGGGGGGTTGAGAGTGGGGGGGGGGGTGAGAGTGGGGGGGGTTGAGAGTGGGGGGATGAGAGTGGGGGGGGGGGTGAGAGTGG